TTCTCGTGGAGTCAAGCAGGGCTAGAATCGTTTTTAGCTGTTTCTTGCAGCTGCTCAGTATGTGTGTGTGCACACGTGTGTGTGTGCACGCGCGTATGCACGTGCCAAGAGTTCTCCTCCTGTAGCAAAGAATCACATTCACTTTAGGCTCACGATGCTCCTATTTGTAGTGATAAGAAACATTTAGAGTTTTCTGTATCTCAAGTCCTTTCTATAATTTTCTAGATTCTTTTTCAGATTTTTTTATTGCTTTTCGATCTTCATGGTTATGATGAAGATATACAGACGTTTTTGATTTTTTGAAAAGTGCCGACAACTTGGAAAACAGGAGATGCAAAGTTCGAGGTGCAGTGGGAACATCATATAAGCATCAGAAAAAAATTTTAACTGCCAAGAAATATAGGAAAACTCATGGAAAGAAAATATTTATATGCTTAGAGAATAATTATTTCGATGACATTAAATATGGGCTGTAATTTCAAGTCAGACTATGATTTTTAGAATGATTATTAAGGCTTGAGGTTCAAAGCCGTTTTTGCTCTGTGACTCTGAAACAGTTCAATGTACTCTGAAGTATGTTTGCTTGTTTTTGTGCCAATCGGTAAAAATCTATTGCAGTTCGGTAAGAAATCTTTATTTTCAGGGATTTTACTAATTTCTTTGGGCCACGTGATTATAAACAAATACGCAAGATTTTACATGCTCACTAGTTTGTATTCTTGGAAGATTAAATTTTCCAGAAACGACACTCATTGTCAAATTCATGACGAAGGTTTATTTTACTCGAGATGACCATTCGTGGACTGGACATGTCTGCAGTGTGTAAACACTGATTTCTCTCCAGCTTAGTGAAGCCGAGAGGGTCTTCTTCGACGTGTTCGCTGACTCCATTTCTGAGTAGTCAGAATCCCGTCGTGTTCCCCACCAATTAGGCAGCTGTTTGGATCCGACCCCAGCGATGAGTCAGGATCAACAGCTGGCTTTCGGCGGTGAATCTGTCTTCTTTTATTAGGGTCTAGCGTTTGGTACATGGAAAAAAAATCTATAATTGACTCGGCGTTGTCAACACAGCTCTTCTCCGTACTCGGCAGAGTTGGGAGGGACAGATAATGTTCGCGGTAAATTCATCAGCCTGGTCAGTCAATCGTGTGTCGTTTCCTGCATACGGACACAGACCTCATCTCACTTACTCATGTCTGCATCTGGGGGGCCGAGGACTTGGGGGAACTTCAGCTCATTTTTTTTAATTTAATGGACTCATCTTCAATTTATTATTTTTTTTTTAAATATGAGCCATGACCACCTGAGCCTCCATCAATACATGGTGACAATCAGAGGCCTGGAAGTTTGAGGGGTGCGTGGGGCCCCTGCCATACCCCATACCGCCTCCGTCGATGAGAAAATTTGATTGGACCAGAGAGCGCATTGAGCCTGCCATGGGGCATAATGGAAATGACACGTTCCAGCCACATCTCACGCAGCCGAATAATGTTCAACTAATGAAAAACAGAGCAACGGGTCACAGCTGACTGCAGTTTCTGTGGAGCTCGAGTGACCTGCAGAGGCAGCGGGCACAGCCCGTGATGCGAAGAGCAGCAGCAGGAACCAGCTGACGTGCTGGTCGGCTCTTTATCACTTGTGTCTGGGAAGGTCTTGACCTTGGCGAGTAACATAACCTGTTTGGGGGCCCTCGAGTTTATACTTGGAAAAGGAGGAAATACAACTAGAAAATCTCTCGAGCTTTTTTAATATTTTATGGCTCACGAGTTAGCGTGGAAACAGGCTTTTGAGATATTGCTGTGATACCTAGGACCTGGCCTTGTTTTCTTCGATAGAAGGTTTTTTTAAATGTTTAATGGAGTGCACATTCTCCATTTCCTTCCTTCCGCGTGAGCACGTTTTGTGCCCTGCTGAAAATAAAAGCCCGTCACCCCGAAGTCATGCACATATTCTCCCCAACAACCTCTGGCAAGCGTCACAATTGCGCTTTTCACATGTAGGCTGCCTGATCTGGGTGCATTTCGCAGAGTCCACTCTTACTCTGACCTTGTGGATCACCTTGGAGATCGTCGGTAAAGTGTCTGCATTGCTTTCCGTCCCTGCACCCACTCCTGGGGGAGCCCCTCCGTCTGCCTCACTGACCCTGGCCTTAGCTGGGTGGCTCGATTGGGCCCATAGAACAAGAGCAAACACGCCCAAGCACGAGCCTCGCCGGAAGGACCGGGGCTGAGACCGGCACGTGGAGTTTGAGCCCTTGATGTGTGATGCTGAGGGGAAGTGACCCCCACACGCCGGCGCTGGGACGTGTGCTCCCACATCGCCCCATCCGCGGGGCTTGGCGGGCCCCGGGCTGTGCGCTGCGTGCTCGTGGGCCAGCGGAGACCCCACCCTCGGCACCACGTGCTTTGCTCTGGGGTTCTGCCAGCTTTTTATGTCTGAACAAGTCCCGTCAGGGTGTCATTTGCATGTTTCAGCATGGGCATATTTTATTTTTGGTTGTATTTTACCCATCTTTAAAAAGGTCTTATTTTGGTTTTGAATAGGATTCTAGTTTAGCAACGCTCTTTCTCCAGTAATTCGAAGCTATCGTTTCGTCGTTTCTTGGTTTCTGTTGTTTCTGTTGACGAGACAGCTGTCAATCCTGTTGTTCTTTTGAAAGTTACACGTCTCTCTTTTCTTCCGTTTGATTTCGAGACTCTTCTGTGGTTTCGGTTTCCTGTAGAATCGTGCCTATGTGGCTGTTCTTCGTCTTTTTCCTGCTTGGGATTGTAGAAGTGTTTACATCTATGGTTTGCAACGTTCCATCAGTTATCGAACATTCTCGGCCATTTCAGTTACAAATATTAATTCTGCCACGTTCTTTCTGGTCTCTCTTTTATGGATTCCAGTGATGTAAATATTAGGTTTTTTATAATATACCGTAAGCATATTTCTTGTATATATTAGTTGTCAGGGAAAATCCTCCTCTTAACTTCTATTTTCTTGAAACTATGAATCACGATAATTTTAAATTTTATTTCCACTTACACCAATATCTGGATTCCCTGTGCCTCTGCTTCTATTATCTGTATATTCTCTTGGATTTCAGTCATTCGGCCTCATCTCCTAGTACACTTCGTAATTCTGAACAAATAAGAAAATTATTTATGGAAAATGTATTTCTAGCAGAGAGGGTCGCTGCAGTTTTCTGTTTGTTCATTTGTTTTGAAGGTCCCCCCACCCCGGCTTAATTAGGGCCTAATCGACAAACGGAATTACAGTCCACTTGGGGGTTGAGCTGATGCCTGCTCCGTCTGGTCCGTCTAAACCGGTCTGCAGGGTCGGCTGTCACTCGAGAAGTCGCCCTCCTGTGGCATCTGTGACAGTCCTGCCGTTCGCCAGGAAGCCCTCCGTCAGCACGGACCCCCGATTGTGACTCTCGTCTCCCAGCACCCCTAGACTGCCAGAAGCTGCTCAGACTCTCAGCTCCTTGACTCCCGCTTTCCACTCCAGCAGCTGCTCATGACTCATCAAATTCCTTTTTTTTTTTTTTTTTTTTGAGGAGGAGGAGGAAAATAGCACTGGATGTTTGGTTCCGTTCCGTGCCTCCCTTTGCTCTGGAACTTTTCATCCCCCGTGTCCTTTTTACTTTAATGGCATCCTGGTGACTGGAGAAGGGTCCGTGTGACACATGCCGATCTAGCATCGTGAGAAGCAGAAGCCCCTTCGATTTAAGGTTTAAGGCTGAATGATGAATAATGGGTTGCACAAACTATAACAATTCCTGAATCTGGGAAGCTCTTTGTAATTTCTCAGTTTCTCGAGTGGCCAGTCAGCCCGGCTCACTGTCCTGAGTTTCCTGTCCGTGGACGGGGAGAAGTGTCACCAGCCCTGACCATGGCCTGTGGGAGACAATGGGGACCATCGAACTAGTACAGAGAAATCACGTGCGACCCATTAGAGACAGGTGCTGTGGAAATTGGACAAATAACTCCTGTCTTGGAGTGTTATTTTTGCTTTCGTTCACTTTTCTTTTTTACTTATAAATACGCACTGGCGTCACGAGTGGGGTGACGGCCGCAGACAGACCGTGTATCGAGGGCTCCCACCGAGCCACTCGCTGCTCTTGGCACTTTCCTACCATTGGACTTCGGAGCTGCTGCTCAGTTCGCTCTGAAAAACCTTCTGACCCTGCACGTAGGATCGACGTCTCGTCCAGTGACGGCGCCATCCCTCGCACCTTGTGTCTGTGGATCTTCACCGAGGCCACGCGTCGGTGGGCTCCGAGGCAGAGGGATCCGGGACTGCAGCCCTGGAGATGGGGACCAAGAAAGATTCCAGTCGAGGCGGCAGCCAGAGAGCAGTTTGGAGACGCCCGGGCAGACGCGCCGCTGCTCGTTTTAGTGACTCCAGAGGGATCTTGTTGTTCCTTTCCCTCTTAGCTTATGGAAGTTTACAAGTAGGATTTAGTTGCTATTTGCAAACACTTGTCCCTCCCCACTCCAAACGCAAAAATTATACCTCAGTACGTCCCCGGTAGGGAAGGGGATGCTGAAATTGTGGCGGAAGGAAGGACTCGTTGGTCTTCAGCCACCTGCTAGGGAGCGTAAGCACATGTGGCAGTCTAGTAAGAAATTAGCCTGAGTACAGAGTGTCGGGGGTAGGAACGTGTTGCAATATTTCATGCAGAACCTCTGGGAGCTATAAGCTATGGTGCAGGTGTCCCCTGGCCTAGGAGAGGGAGGGAGGGAACGTACATTTTAATCTTCGAAACAAGTTGGTCGTGTTTTGCCTTTTACAATACCCACTGCCATCTTTTGATTGTCCCTGGCAAGAAGTGTATGGAAGAGTTGTCTGTGACAGGAGCTCCTCGCGTGGAGCATCCGGTTCTGTTATTCTAGTCACATTTCCCCAAGATAAGTGGGAGACATCTAAGGAAAAAGAAATTGCCTTCCCGGAAAAAGTGAAATGAACAATTTTCGAAAATGTGGCCCCTGTGTTTGAAGACAATTAAGATAACTGTTATTTTGGACCTTGGCGGGGGGTGGAGGGAAACACGCCCTCTTCTGCAGGTGGGGTGCGTTGTGAGACCACGTGGGGAGGGCGGGCACCCTCGAACGTCCGTCTTGGATAATTCTGTCTGCATCACTGTTTCAGCACTGCCCAAGCGACGTGCCTCGCCGATCAGCCCAAGCCCGTGAAGGAGTATAAGTATCCTGAGAAACTGCCAGGACAGCTATATGACGCGGACACGCAGTGCAAGTGGCAATTCGGAGAGAGAGCCAGGCTGTGCATGCTGGATTTCAAAAAGGCAAGTGATCGTCAGCCAGCCAGCGCTCAGGGCAGCATGAGTCATAAAGTCGTTGCATGCGGTGTAGCTGACGTTGATGTATTCTGCATGGATTTGGGTACCTACCAAATGTCAACTCCTGAATGTCAGGGCTGGTCCTATATAACAGGAAACACATGTTTTACTGGCAAAGAAAACGGTGGTTGATACTGTCGCGGGTATCAGTTTTCATTCGAGAATAACTCGATCTGTTAGGCGAATCCTTTCTTGCTGATTTATCGTGTGAGAGCTCAGCAGTAGCTTTCGGTTGGCGTAAGTCGGCAAATGGATGCTCTGTATTTTTTTCAAAAGGTATGAAGAAAGCAACACCCCCCCTTTACCTTCTTTCGATGTAGGCATAATTTACTATAAAACAGCAGCCTATCCAGAGCTTCTGATTATTAAATTCCCCAGATAAGGTATTTATAGAGAAGTTTCCCATGGGAGGCTCTACCTGGTGTCCCGGCCTGGGGGACATTGCCAGCATGGTTCCCTAAAATAAACTCCTCGCGGGACAGAGGCCACGCTCTTGCTGGACACGGACGCCGAGTTTTAGGAAGTCGTTATGGGCAAGTCGCCCATAAATTAAACAAAAGTAACTCTTTTTCAGGTTTTTCTCATCCTAGTTTATAATGGAATTAAGAGAAAGATAGATAAAAATGTATAGTCCTCCAGGAGCCTCCAAACATTTCAGAACGCGCTGGGAGTGCTCCCAGCTGAAATCTGACAGCGATGACCTTCTTTCTTTTAAACTCGGAGAGAGCTCCCGCGAGGATCGGTTACAGCCATGTGCCAGAACCGATTCTTCGCTCCTCGGCCAGGTAGTCTAGCTTGGAACAAGAATGACAGATCAGTCAGCCTCAGCATCAATTCCCAATGTCGCCTTTTCCACGGGCAAAATATGTGACTTCCCTGAGAATTCTTTGAGCGTTAACTCTTCTTCTGTGTGTTAAGTAAAACTAATGTTTCCTTTCAATGTGGGATTTTCTGCATGATGCTTCTGGTTTCCGCATTATTTCGCTCTGTGACCACGAACTATGTCATCTGTGGTACCCTAGTGCCATTCGGATGATATAGAAATTAGAAGTTAATGTGCACATCATTTGATTACTGAGGAAATATTTACGCACGACAGAATGCATTTATTGAAGGTGTACAACTAGAATTTTAACAAATGTACTTGCCCATGTTACCAGCATCTCAGATATGGCTTATTTCCATAGAGCCAGAAAGTTCCTTCTCCATTCCAATCCATCAGTCTGATTTTTGTCACCTTAGGTATGTTTTGCTTCATAATTGCCAATATTTCACCATTTAATATGTTTTTAGCTATTGGTTTTACATGCTTACCCTTTATTAATTTGGAGACGTTTCTTTCTGGTCGTAGATGATGAGGGATTTTATCACAAAAGTATGTTGCCTTTTACGGATTTTTTTTTTCCCTGTATCTGTTGATATAGTTATATCATTTTTTTCTCTTCTATTTTGTTAATGTGATGGATTATACCGATAGGTTTTATTTTTTTTTTCATTGGTTTTGTTGATGTAAACCAGCCCACGTTCCTGGGATCACCCCACTTGGTCATAATCTAGTACTCGTTTTTATATTTTGCTAATTTGATTCGTGAATATTTTGTTTGGCATTTCTACATCTGTGTTCTTGAGTGACATTACTTAGAAATCTTGTTTTCTTATAATTGCCTTTCAAGATTTTATATCAGAGTTATATTAACCTCATAAAATGAGATGGCAATGTTCTTTACTCCTTTTTATTTTCCCAAAGAGCAGCTTGTGTAAGATGGGTTTTATTTCTTTCTTAAATGTTTGTCATAATTTACCAGTGAATTCTGCCTGTGGGAAGGTTTGGTGATTACAAATTCAACTACACTGACATATATGGGTTATTTAGGAGAAACTCTCGTGAGGCTGACCAAATTCAATGAAAAATAAATTATCAAAACTGACACAAAAGAGTTTTTTATTTTACCCATATAGTTGATGTTTTACCAAAAAGTTGTTTGTAGCTTTGTCGTTTATCTTTTTAATGATTGTAAGAACTACAGTAATATTTCCTACAAAGATGTTGTGTGTTTCTTTACTTCCCTTCCCTTCATCAGTCTAGCTGAATTTATCAGACTAATTAATCCTTTCAGAAGCATCGAACATTGCTGCTTTTTTTTTTTGAAAAATGTGTTGGATTCTTTTTTATTTTATTAAGTTCTATTTTGTCTTTATTAGACTGTCTTAATGTGTCTTTTTTTCTTGCTTTTTAGGAGATAAACTAGATGATTTTAGAACTTTCTTCTTTTTCCAACATAACCATCTACCTTTATTTAAAGCTATTAATTTCCTTCTAAGCAATATATTAGCTATATCCTGAAAATTTTTACATGTTGGGTTTTTAATATTAAGTATGAAATACTTTCTTATTTAAGTGGCGATCTCATCTTTAACCAATGTATTATTTAATCACCAAATAATTTGCAGTTTTCTAGATAGCTTATTCATTTTTATTTCTAATTTGGTTCAAATTTCTTTAGTGAATATACTCTATAAGCATTTTTTTTATTTTTTTTTGAAATTTATTAAAATGTATTTTGTAGTCCAGTATGTGGCCTATTCTGGTGAACATTCAATGGGCACTGGGCATGTACGTGAATTCTGCAGTGGTTGGGTAAAGTGTTCTAGAAATGTCTATTTTCTTGATTTGTTTGACATATTTATGTCATCTATATCCTCCATGATATTTGCTACTGGTTATACCAATTTTATAGATACGCGTTAAAATTTCTAACAATAATTACATATTTTTAAAATTTCTCCCTTTATTTGTATTAGTTCTTGCTTTGTGCATTTTAGAGCTGCGTTTTATATAAACAGTTAGGGTTGTTATGTCTTCCTGATGCTTCCATCGTTAGGAAGTATCTTTCTCTGTTGTTAGTAATGTAACTTTTCTTGAATTCTGCTTCGTCTGATATCACTGTAGCCACATCAGCTTATTTAAGACCACTCTGCATGATGTGTCCTCCACCCTTTCACTCTCCATTTATTTGTGCTCTTATATAAAATGTAACTGTGAGCATCCTTTAATTTGGTATTGCCTTTCTGTCCAGTTTAATCCGTTGATATCTAATGTTATTATTGGCATGGAGGATCTAGTTATGCCATGTTTGCTATTTTTTTCCTCTTGGTCTCGTTTCTTTTTTATTTCTGTTTCCTTTTAGATGAAACTTCTTTTTAAAAAGTGTGTGCCATCATTTGCTTTTAGCTGTACTTGCTTGAATTAATTTTTAGTGGTTGCTTTAGAGATTATAGCTACATTCTTGATTTACAATTTATGCAAAATTAACATTGTTCCATTACATATGAGGGCAAGGTTCTTATAGAAAATAAGTTCACACTGTACAATTGTTGTCACGTGTTATATTTCTATGCGTAGTATAAAGCCACATGATACAATATTATAAATTTTGTTTTAAAATAGTTGTTTTTAAATCGAAATAAAATATAAATAAAATATGAATAAAATAAAATATATAAAAATAAGATCATATTTTATATTAATCCACGTATTTGCTATTTAGCATGCTTCACATCTTTATGGCCTAAAGAGCTTTGGCGTTTCTTTTAGCGCAGATCCTCTGGCCACAAAGTATCTTAGGTTGTCATTAATTCACATTCAGTTTTTCTGAATAGTTTTCCTGAATATATAATTCTAAATATTTTTTTCTTTAATCTCTTTTCTCCTTTAGGCACTTTAAAGACAATTTTATTTTCACCGGGACTCAGTTGTTTCTGATAAAAAAAAAATTGGTCATCATTTCTGTCTTTCTTCTATCCCTTATCATTTGTTTAGACAATTCAGCAAATTATACATCAGTGTTATTTTAAATTTCAGTTTCCACATTCCCATTTTTTATGGTCTGTATTTCTTTACTGAAATTTTCTATTCGTTCACTCATTAGTTCACTTTTTCTTGGATAGTTTTAACTATATCATAACATAATACGTTTTTATTTTATGTTTTATTTACTTATACTACATTATTCAGGCAGGTGACTCCTTTCGATCCTCTGAGGCTTTGTTTTATTCTTAGGCCTCGTCCATTTTAGCTTTTCCTGAGCCATAGGGCATAGCCCGTATGCTAGTTTGTGGTTTTTACTCACAAGGTGTGGGGTTCAAGCTCTCTACTGGAGGCTCAGGATGCTCACTGGGTATAGCCACTCTGCGTGAGCCAGCACTGTGCAGCCCAGAGCGTTCAGCCTGCACCTGCCACCCCGTGCCGTGCCACGTGGACAGACAGATGGACGGATGGATAGATAAGCCAACAAGTTTCATAATCAGTTTTAATTTGAAAATGGGGATTCTGACTTGGAGAAGATGGTGAAAGATAGGGTCAAGAATAAATTGTAATATGTTAAGTTTTATTGTTTTGTTCATTTTAATTTTCTGTGGCCTTCTGCAATGAGTTGAGTAAGCATCTTTCACTTGTTAATTTGGTAAATTTATAATGAGTAAATACAAATAAAGTTTCAGAAATGGAATTAAGTTCAACCAAGTGTAGAATCTGAGTCTTCCAGATCCTCTGGCACGTGCGTCTGCTGCTAAGTAGATGTCGGCTTGTGACTTACACCACTTGCTCCCAATGACAATTTATCACAGGTGTGTGGACCATTTGTAATACTAATGATCTTTCTTTCCCTTTTAGGACATCTGTAAAGCCCTGTGGTGCCACCGGATTGGAAGGAAATGTGAGACTAAATTTATGCCAGCAGCGGAAGGCACCGCTTGTGGGCATGACATGGTAAGTCACCGCCGTGGGGCACGTGCATCGTATCCAGTCACCGCCGTGGGGCACATGCATTGTATCCAGACGTCAGGTTTTCAACCCACACATCAATTCCCCTTTTGCACTGGTGTTTGGAACTCATTCCTCCTCACAGACGTGTGCGGACCGACACTCATGTCAGAAGACCGTGTTTCTGTCGCTACTGTGAAGGGGACCCCTGTCTCTCCCTCTTCCGA